TCTCTCTCTCTCACACACACACACACACACACACACACACATCCACATTCTCTCTCTCTCTCTCTCACACACACACACACACACACACATCCACATTCTCTCTCTCTCTCTCTCTCTCTCTCTCACACACACACACACACACACACATCCAGAAATAATTCTTATTGTCAAATAACCCTATGTAACCGCTGCATAGTACTGAAATTAATTGCCCAGCCCGGGAGACACACGTTGGACACACCATTCATCCACTCAGCACTACTGTACTGATTGCCTGATAACACCTGGCACTGCCATGGGCTCTGGGGACAGGGCCAACAAAAGCCCCTGCCCACTGGGAGCTGACCTTCTAAGGAGGATGTACCCTGCAGTGGTAAGGGCAGAGGATGGTACCACGGGGCAAGAGGGACAGGCCAGTAGCTCACTCCTGCAGACAGCAGGACAAAGACCTTCTCACACCTAAGCCAATGACTCATGCTGGGACAGGATGCACACTCCAGTGACATAGTATGACAAAGAGATTTTCCACCAGTACCAAAGGCCAAGGCGACTCCACACGTGGCTCAGACTCCCGGCAGAACGCCCACACACATCCACACCAGAAATAAGTCGGAAGCTTAAATAGAAACACTCTAGAGAGGAACACACAAAGAAATAGATCACCACACACATGCACCTGCTGTCACCCAAGCAGTCAAACACCCCCATCCAGGAGCACCTCCCGCCGTTTTATGGTACAGTCACCCTTGCTGTGCCTGGAACTTGCAGCCTGAGGTCCCTGGGTTCCTCTAACTTGGGCCATGGAGGGAATGGGGGTGTGGGGTGTACTCTGCTGGGTGTCCCCTGGCCTTTCTCGGGGGCCAGGCCATGTGTGCTTCCTCTAGGCAGGTTCCCTCATGTCTGCATGATTTTCAAGCCAGGGACCATGAGTAGTCCCAGCAGAGACCCAGCTGCACTTCCTGAATGGAGAATCGACAGCTGCCCACCCCTTCACAGCAAGTCCAGACATGCAGAGTTGAAGACAGAGTGGGGACTGCTGTGATGACAGCATCCCCTCCAGAGTCCTTGCTTCCTTCTGTGCTAGGAGCTGTCCTTTCAGCACCAAGCCAGAGGGGTTCACGGGTTGTTTCTGTGACTGTTGAGACCTATGGCGACTTTGGGTCCATAGCCTCAGTTGACACCCCCCGCATTTACAGTTTCGACCCTAGAACAAGCCGATCTGGGCTGCAAGTGATACCTTTCACTGCCCATGTGTTAGGAGAGATGCAGGGAGAAGCAGATGCTGAGCCAGGCCTGGACGCCAGACTCATCCACTATGTGAGTATTTAGCAAATGTTTTTTTTTTTCTTTTTAAACTTTTTTATTATTTATTTATGTATTTATTGGAGGTATTTAGGATCAAACTCAGGGCCTTGTGCATGCTAGGCAAGTGCTCTGCTGCTGAACTACAACCCCATCCCTACAAGTCTCTTTCTGTATTTGAGAGAGACTAATACTGGGAACACAGGTGAGTATCTAGAAAGCCCCTGCCTTCAAGAAGTGCATAATCCGTGGTTGAGTGCCAAGCACAAACAAGAACAGTGGTCCGCTGATCCACCATCTTATCCCCCACTCACCCACGTCCTGGATCCTCCCTCCTCTTGTCCTGATGCCCTGTTCAGATCTGTGCGGCAGATACTCTCCTCAAGGTCAAAGGACTCCACGCTGTATTGCAGGTGTTACCAAAAGTTGGTTGAAAACCTCTCTGCCCTGTGAAATATTATTCCCAGCACATCTCAGGCAAGGAAAATGCATGTTAAAGACCACATGGAAACTTCTAGAGCTCCACAAATTCTCAGGGATGAAGTCCACAGAAATATCAAAGAATCTAGGAATCTGAGTTAGATGGGCCTTGTGAGTTCAGTCCTACTCACACCTGAGTCTGCCCTCAACAGCTTGAGGAAATGGTGTCTTGGGCTTTACCCATGGCAACAGGATTCCACTGCTTTTAAGAGCACTCTTTCTGTTGTGAGAAAGGGCCCAGTTTCAAGACCAGAGGGATATAAGCAGGGAGGTGGCAAGAAAGCACAATAATGTTTCCCACTTTAGAGAGGTCTTCACATGCCAGGGGCAGGGGCAGGCACTGCACCCAGGGCAATTCTCCTGTACCTCACAGCACCCTCTGAGTTTTACAGCCTCACTTTACAGATGAGGAAACTGAGGCTCAGAGAGATCAATAACTTGCCTCTGATCAAGCGAGACTTCTGGGATTTGGACACTGCAGTCACGCCCGAGTCTGTGTTCACTTTTTCCTCTCCCCAAGAAGCCTGACAGGGAGGGGAGCATGGAGGTGCTGAGGTCAGAAGGGTCTGGATTTGGGGGTTAGACTCTTGGCCTCTGTGCCACCTTGGGCAACTAATCATCCAAAACCTACATTTAGGGCCCCACTGCGTGTTGCAGGCTCTGTCACTCTCCATCAGGGGGGCCTGGCTTCCTGGACTGCCCCCCTATACAAGGGTTTTGCAAACATTGGGTGTTTCACACTTCATGTTCTGCTTTACACACCATTGGCTCCTTCAGCTGCCTCCTGTGGCACACCATGCCACCTCCACCTTCAGGCTGGGACACGACGGGTGACAAACCTTAAACCCATGGCTCAGGAAGGGACCCAGCTGGGGCTCCAACTCTGGTGTGTTGGACTCCTTTGCACAGCCTCTCCTGATCCCAAAGCCAGGAACCCAAGCATGGCGGGGAGAGGGGGCAGAGCCAGGGCAGCAGCTAGGAAAGGCACCCCCCAGCCTGCTGTGAGACCAAGGGAAGCCGTGTCTGACAGAGATCCCTAGAGGAAGCACCACCCGGTGACAGCCATGGCCGCCCCATCCTGTCCAGCTGGTGCTCCAGGGATGAATGACACCATGATATTTGAGGAGAGGCCAATCTGAGCTCATCCCCTCAGACCGAAGAGCCTTCCAGGGACCATGAGTAGTCCCAGAAGAGACAGGGACGTGTCAGGCAACAGCAGGAAGAGGACGAGAGGCCAGTTCAGCTCCATGGTGCACTTGGTGTAGGCATACAAAACACAAAAGAGGTCTTTAAAAAAAAGCCTAAGTTGTAAAAAGAATATGTGCAGAAAACTAAGAAAAGAGAATGTATTTGTGACCAGCTATATACTGCTGTTAGTGAGTCTGCCAAGCAAGTCATGAATTACCGTGTGCATTTTAGATGTAAGGAAAGAAGTTCAGAGAAGTTAAGCAAGCTGCCTAAGGTTGCATGGCGATGAGTGAGAGAAATCCAGGCAGCTTGATTCTAGAAGGTCTGCTTTTTATGTTGCTTTCAAATCAGTACGCCAGGGATTGTGGTCAGCTAAATAACAGCCCTCCAAGATGGCCACCTCATCCCTGGAACCCGTGTGTATTAATTCACATGGCAAGTGGGAACGTTTTGTGTGCTTTAATAAGAACTCAGGGCGGGGAGATTATCCTGGATTATATGGATGGAGCTGAGGGAGAGACGGGCTCTGTTAACACGGGAGAGGGAGCAAGCAGAGCGGCATGAGAAGATGCTCCCGCAAAGGTCGGAGTTAGAGAGTCGAAGAAGCTACACTGCTGGCTCTGAGGATGGAGGAAGGGGCTGCCAGGCGGAGCTGGGAGGGCGAGGATGTGGGTTCCCCCTGGAGCCTCCCCAAGGAACAGGGACCCACCAACCCCTGACTTAGCCTGGCGAGACCCATTTCAGACTTGTGACCTCAACTGTGAGATGATGGGTGAGTGTTGCTTTTAGGCATTAGGTGGATGGATGGCATCTGTCAGGGCAGCAAGGAAATTAATGCAGGGATGTGACGGATCCTGCAGGGAATCCCCTCACGGTCTGTGCAAAGTGGATTCCCCTAGAGAGACTGCATTCCCTGCCAAGACCAAGAGAGTCCTGGATCCGTTGCCTCTTTGTGTCGCGTCAGGGCTCCCGACACTGTGGGAACCATTCAACCAATAAAAAATAAAAAAAAAAAAAAAAAAACTCTGTGAAAAGCATACATTTTAATGTACAAAATTACACAAAGTATACATTTAACTAACATAGAAAAATACATCTGGGTAACAAGGGGAAATCCTGGCCTGGTTCACACAAGATGGAGCAATTGTTACAAATCTTGAAAACCTGGAAGGGAGAGATGAGCCCAAGTCCCAGGGATCAGGAATCTGAGAAGCAGCTCCTGGTGGCTGGCTCTGTCACATCCCTGCTGGCAGACATGACGGGACACCCACTGGCCCAGCACCAGAGGAGGGTCCTGCTGAAGAGCATCCAAAAGGAAGGGGGTCTGCTCCTGGTGCTGGACCACCCGGTGAGCAGCACATCCCACCGTGGGGGACTTATCCCGCCATCGTCTA